ATTTTGGGAGACATGGCCAGTGTGCCTCTTGCCCTCTCTTACTGCCTCCAGAAGGCCTCCTTCATCTTGAAATTGCAAGGAAGATTTAGGTTAAATGTGGGTCAAGGGTAGGGAGAAAAGTATCCGTTGAAAACAGAGATGTTTCCTACCAATTGCAGCTGTCTGACTTTTTTCTTTGAATCTGCAGAGAGTTGGGGGTACTCCACTTCCTTGAGCCAAGACTCCTTAGGCAATTTATACACATCCAGACAAATATCTCCAGCTCCTGCACTGGGAAACCAAGGAACTATTGAGCAACCCCGAACAGGCAACAAGCTTCTCCTAAGAAACAGCCTGTCTTCTCAGAAACCCTGGCACAGAGACCAGCAGGCACGCTCGGAGCAGCAACTTTGCAAACTGGAGCTGTAGTTCTGTGGTAGTTACTGCCAGTCCTCATTCATGGGGAGCTGCAGAGCTCCTCTCCTCAAGCCACTGAAGCTAAAGGAAAGAGGGGCTTCTCACAATCACAGTGCCAATGTCACAGTTTGTAACCAAATCGCCTGCTCTGCCTGGTCCCCATGTTTTCCAGGTTCCAAATGATAAATTCCACTGATATTTTGTCTTACAGCAGCTATTCCCGTCTGGGAAGGGAGGTGGCATGGGCAGAATCAATAACTGAGAGGGGTAGGCTGAGAAAGGGTTAGGATTGGGAGAGGTGCCCCAAGAGAATTCTTCTGACCAATAGCTGAGGAGGTGACAACCCATGGCGGGGGTGGTTAGTGAGGCTTTATCTTGTCAAAGAAACATGCTCAGCTTCTATACCAAATACCTACCAACCTGAGAAAGATTATTTTCCCATGATGGGATTCTGGTTAAATGTTTCCTTAAAAAAGTAATCATTTAGACACCTTGATTTCAGACTTCTGGACTTCAACATATGTCTCAAAATTCTTTGATCCTCCTACATCCAGGAAATGGTGCTTAAATCCTTTCCCCTTGACTGTGGTCTGGACTTAAGAATATGCAAAAGAAAGAAGAGTAGCTCAGCCGTGGAGGAAGCCGGCAGATTTAACTAAGTGATCAAGGTCAGCAGCAGCAGCAGTGCATCACACTGCTGTCACGTACCCCTGAGATAATGCAACAAAAAGAGCACGTCAGCTCTGTGGTGCTGTCCTCCCAAATCCTTAACCCCAGCTGAATCATGAGAAAATTCAGACAAACTGAAATTCAGGGACATTGCACAAAATATCTGACTGGAATTCTTCAAGTGTCAAGGTCATGAAAAATAAAGACTAAGACATTGTCACAAATAGGTATAGACTAAAAAGACGATGACTAAATGCAATATGACATCCTGAATTGAACCATGAAACAAAAAAAAAACTAGAAGAAAAACTAGTAAAATCTTTCTAAAAATCTGTAGTTAATGGTATTATACCAATGTCATTTGCTTAATTTTGACAAATGTACCCTGATTATGTTAAATGTTGGTATTAGGGAAACTGGATGAAGGGTATAGCGGAACTCTGTCCTATATTTGCAACACTTCTGTAAATTACTTCTAAATAAAAGGTTTGGGGGAATAGTGACTATCTGGAAGAGACCGCAAATTTGAACCTTCTTAACAGCCTTTGGTTAATCTTGCCTTGTAGGAGGAAGGCTGCGAAGTCCCCTCCTTCAGAAATCTCCATCTTGATACAGGTGGTTTGTTTGCTGGTATCATCCTGAAAAGAAGAGAGATGCTGATGGAGTAAGCTCAGCCTGATGACAGAACAGAATGTATTTCAGGGCCTTCTGTGGTTTACACCACAGAACGTAAATCATTTTAAAGCCTGAGATGTAAAAAGGTGCCCCAGACTTTCCATTTTTTGTACAGGAATTGGACAAGATTGTTTGTAAAGAAGCGGAACTCAGTTTTCTGTCTAAAGGTGTTTGGACTTATTTCCTGGAGTCTGAAATAGTCCTGATGATTTGTGGCGGTTTCATATTATCTGATTTCCTGGTCAGGTTTGAAACCCTACATACCTAGGCCAGAGCTCAGTTATTTAAAATGAGTTGAAATAAGCTCTACATGACTCTCTCTGGTCAGTTGCTTGAAAAAAGGCTCTGTCTAGACTACAGTAGTGTCATAGTCTGTTTGAGTTGCTTTAACAAAATATCCTAGACTGGGTGGTGCATAAACAATGAACGTTTATTTCTCACAGTTCTGGAAGCAGGAAGTGCAAGATTTCCGAGGACTTCTGGCAGATTCAGTGTCTGGCTTATAGACTGCCTGCCACCTCTGGCTGTGTCCTCACATGGTGGAAGGGCTGAGGGAGCTCTCTTGGTCTTATAAGGGCATTAATCCCATTCATGAGGGCTTTGCCCTCATGAACTAATCACATCCTAATACCATCACATTGGGGATTAGGATTTCGACACAAATTTTAGGGAAACACAAACATTCAGTCTATATTAAGTAGATACTGAATGTAACCCTAGTATGAAACCTGCTCAAATGTCAGGTCAGGTGAAGAAAGACTCAATGTGTATGGTTGCACTACACCTTTACAGAGCTCTAAGACCAGCAAAATAAGGTGGCTAGACTAGTTAGGCTGGTAAGCCCCCTCAATTATTAAAGGAGATTCATTGTAAACATTTTTAATTTTTTCATGTTATTATTTCTTTTAATTGAAGTACAGTTGATGTATAAGTTACAGGTATACAATACAGTGATTCACAGTTTTTAAAGGTTATACTCCATTTACAATTATAAAATGTTGGCTATACGCCCCGTCCTGTACAATATATCCCTAAAGCTTACTTCATACATAATAGCTGTACCTCTTAGTCCTCTACCCCTGTATCGCCCCTTCCCCCTTCCCTCTCCCCACTGGTAACCACTAGTTTGTTTTCTATATCTGAGTCTGCTTCTTTCTGTTACATTCACTAGTTTGTTGTATTTTTTAGATTCCACATATGAGTGATATCATAGAGTGTTTGTCTTTGTCTGACTTACTTCACTTAACACAATACCCTCCAGGTCCATCCCTGTTGCTGCAAATGGCAAAATTTCATTCTATCTTATGCTGAGTCATGTTCCATTGTGTATATATGCCACCTCTTCTTTATCCATTCATCTATTGATGGACACTTAGGTTGCTTCCGTATCTTGGCAATTGTAAATAATGCTGCTGTGAACATTGGGATGCATGTATCTTTTTGAATTAGTGGTTTTGGTTTTTTGAGTTTTGATTTTTTTTTTTTGGATGTATACCCAGAAGTGGAATTCCTGGGTCAGATGATAGTTCTATTTTTAGTTTTTTTAGAAACCTCTATACTGTTTTCCACAGTGGCTGCACCAAATTACCTACCAAGTGTGTATGAGGGTTTCCTTTTTCCCACATTCTCTCCAGCATTTGTTATTTGTGTTCTCTTTGATGACAGGCATTCTAACAGGTGTGAGGTGATACCTCATCATGGTTTTGATTTGCATTTCTCTGGTCATTAGCTATGTTGAGCATCTTTTCACATGCCTGTTGGCCATCTGCATTTCCTTTTTGGAAAAATGTCTATTCAGTTGTTCTGCCCATTTTTAAATAGGATTTTGTTTTGTTTTTTTGGTGTTGTTTATATATGTCAGATATTAACCCCTTATCAGTCATATCATTTGCAAATATTTTCTCCCATTCAGTAGGTTGTCTTTTTGTTTTGTTGATGGTTTCCTTTGCTGTGCAAAAGCTTTTAAGTTTAATTAGGTCCCATTTGTTTATTTTTGTTTTTATTTCTTTCACTTTAGGAGACAGATCCAAAACATCTTGCTATGATTCATGTCAAAGAGTGTTCTGCCTATGTTTTTCTCTAGGAGTTTTATGGTTTCTTTCTTACAATTAGGTCTTTAATCCATTTGAAGTTTATTTGTGTAAGGTATTGGAGAATGTTCTAATTTCATTCTTTTACATGTAGCTGTCCAGTTTTCCCGACACCATTTATTGAAGACACTGTCTTTTCTCCACTGTACATTCTTGCCTCCTTTGTCGTAGATTAATTGACCATAAGTGCATGGGTTTATTTCTGGGTTTTCTATTCTGTTCCATTGATCTATGTGTCTGTTTTTGTGCCAGTACCATACTGATTTGATTACTGTAGCTTTGTAGTACAGTCTGAAGTGAGGGAGCCTGATTCACCCAGCTCCGTTCTTTCTCAAGATTGTTCTGGCTATTTGGGGTCTTTCATGTTTCTATGCAAATTTTAAAATCATTTGTTCTGGTTTTGTGAAAAATGCCATTGGTATTTTGATAGGGATTGCACTGAATCTGTAGATTGCCTTGTCAAGGCATAGAACATTACCATCACCCCAGAAAGTTCCCTAGTGCTCTGTTTCAGTCAATTACATCTCTATAGGCAACCAAGGTTCTGATCTTCCTTAGCTTAGTTTTACCCGTTCTTAAATTTCTTGTGATTGGAATCAGACAGGGCCTGTAACATCAGCAGCCTCTGTACCGTTTCACCTTCAACAACGTCACATTCTGTGGTCTCTCCAACTCCTGCACCACAAAGGCACTTCCTGGGATTATTCTTTCCAGCAGTTTGTGGTCCAAATACATCTTCCTTGGTGTTCTTCTTGTTGGTGAAACCATATTCATTGTTCACATGGGACCATCTGACTGTTTCCTAACCTTTGTTGCCATGACCTCCTTGTCCCCACCAGCAGGCACTGCTCCTTGTGAGGGTGGTCCAGGTGTGGGCAGCACTGAGAGCAGTGGGCTGCTGGGTCTCTGCCTCCTTGCTCAGGGTTGTGGTCATGGTGACTGGGGCCACCTGTGCCAGCTGTGGCTTTTCCTAGGGTGTGAGGGCTACTAGGAAGGGCAGCGGTGGGGTTTCTCAGAGCCCTCTGGTGTCTGCTCTCTGCCCCCTGATACTGATCAAACTGTAGTAGCATCTTTTGATGAGCAGAAGTTTTAAATCTTTTAGCAGCTTTATTAGGGGTGTGATAACATACACTAAACTGCACGTTTGAAGTGTACAATTTGGTTGGTTTAGACATATGTATATCCCTTGAAACCAGCACCACAATCAAGACGGTGAACTTATCCATCACCCTCAAAAGTTTCCTCTTGCCCCTTTGTAAACCTACCCTCCACCTATCTCTCACCACACCCCAGGCAAAAACTGGTGTTTCGTGTTTCCTGTCAGCAGATTAGTTAGTGTTTTCTAGAATTTTATATAAATGGAATCATACAGGATGTAGTATTCTTTTTTTGTCCGACTTCTGTCACTCAGCATAATTGAGATTTATCCATGTAGTTATGTGCATTCCTTTTTACTGCTGAGCAGTATGTACCACAATTTGCTTACCCATTCCCCTGTTGATGGTATTGAGTGGTTTCTGGGTGTTGACTATTAAAGCTGCTATGAACATTCATGTACAAGTCTTTGTATGGAGGTATGCTTTCATTTCACCCGGGGAAATATCTAGGAGCAGAATGGTCACATTGTACCATAGATGTATGCTTAACGTTTCTAAAAAACTGTCAAACTGGTTGTAGCACTCTGTTTCACCACCAGCAGTGTAGGAGAGTTCCAGCTGTTCCATATCTCTGCCAACACTTGGTAAGGTCAGTCTTTTTAATTTGAGGTCTTCTAATACATGTGCAGTGATAGCTCATGATTTTAATTTCCCTAATGACTAATGATGGTGAACATATTACCTTCTATGTAAATTCTTTGGTGAGCTGTTCTTTTTTCCCTGAGAATTTTGCTCATTTTAAAAAAATTGGATTTTCTTATTTTTGAGTTTTGAGTTATAAGAGCTCTCTGTATCTCCTGGATACAAGTCCTTTATCAGATTTGTGATTTGTAATTATTTGCTCCCAGTCTGTGGCTTGCATTTTCATTCTTTTAACAGTGTCTTTTGCAGAACATAAGTTTTTAATTTTGATGAATTCCAATTTTTTCAATTTTTCTTACATGGATTGTGGTTTTGGTGTTGTAGTTAAAATATCTTTGCCTAACCCAAGGTTACAAAGACTTCCTCCTATGTTTTCTTCTAGAATTTTCATAGTTTAGATTTTTCATATAGACATATGATCCATTTGTTTAATCTTTTTTTGTTGTTGGGGGGTAGGTAACTAGGTTTACTTATTATTTTCTTTTTATTTAACAGAGGTACTAGGGATCAAACCCATGACCTCATGCATGCTAAACCTGTGCTTTATCACTGAGCTAAACCCTTCCCTCTATATGATCCATTTTGAGTTATTTTTTGCATAAGGCATGAGAAATGAGAAATTTCTAATTTCAGTGTAGTCCAATTTTCATTTTTTTCTTTTATGATTAGTGCTTTTTACATTCTAAGAAATCTTTACCTGCCTCAGGTTGCAAAAATATTTTCCTGAGTTTTCTTCAAGAAGAATAATGTTCCTAGCCTTTATATTTAGGTCTATAATCCACCTCAAATTAATTTTTAAAAATGGTGTGAGGCAGAGTTGAGGTTCATTCCCCCACCCCATTTGTTTATCCAGCATTCCAATATCATTTATTGAAAATACTTTTTTTTCCCTGCTGAACTGCTTTGGTGCCCATCAATAACATTTTTTTTTACAAAACAAACTTCAATTAAAAACATACTCTGATCAATAACTTCCCCTTTTTGGATTCATTAACTCAAAAAAACACTTTCTAAGAATCTATAATATGCAAGCAGTGTACTAGGAACAAGAAATACACAGGTGAATAAGACATGTCCCCTGCCCTTGACGAACTTATACCTAGGAGAAGCAGCAGTCATATAAACAAGTACGGACGATGGAGAAAATACTGTGATAGATAATCTGTCCTGCTGGTCAACAGGCACATGAAAAGATGCTCAATGTTGGTAATTATTAGAGAAATGCAAATCAAAACTACAATGAGGTTATCACCTCACACCAGTCAGAATGGCTATCATTAAAAGGTCTACAAATAATAAATGCTGGAGAGGGTGTGGAGAAAAAGAAACCCTCCTGCACTGTTGGTGGGAATGTAAATTGGTGCAACCACTATGGAGGACAATATGGAAGTTCCTTAAAAAACTAAAAATAGATTTACTATATGGTCTAGCAATCCCACTCCTGGGCATATACCCAGAGAAAACTATAATTCAAAAAGACACATGCACCCCAATGTTCATAGAAGCACTATTTACAATAGCCAAGACATGGATGGATCTAGAGATTATCAATATTGAGTGAAGAAAGTCAGATAGAGAACGATAAATGTCACATGATATCACTTATATGTGGAACCTTAAAAAAGATACAATGTCTATTTACAAACCAAAAACAGACTCACAGACATAGCAAACAAACTGGTTACTGAAGGGGAAAGGGTGGGGAGGGATAAGCTAGGGGTTGGGGATTAACAGACATGCATTACTATAAATAAAACAGATAAACAACAAGGACCTACTGTATAGCACAGGGAACTATAATCAATTTCTTATAATAACACATAATGGAAAAGAATTTGAAAAGAAAAATATATATGTATGTATTTCTAAAAACAAATAAAGCAGAGGTACCATAAGCCCTGAAAAGAAAAGAAAAGAAAAGAAAAGAAAAGAAAAGAAAAGAAAAGAAAAGAAAAAGAAAAGAAAAGAAAAGAAAAGAAAAGAAAAGAAAAGAAAAGAAAAAAGATATTCTGTCCTATATGTTGGAGGCACAGAGGAGGGAGAGATCAATTCCTCTTGGGTATATCAGGGAAAGTATCTCAGAGGAGGAGATATTTGAGGTGGTCTTGAAGAATGAGAGAAATTTAATAAGAGGTACATATAGTAAGTAGGGAGACAAGAACATTCTATGCAGAGGGAACAGCACGAGCAAGGGAACAGGATGTGAAGCAGCCTGGAGAATTTAGGGACTTGTAAGTAGTTATTAGATATGTTGGTTTGGTGCTCAATCTAGACTGGAGTTTCTCCGTGATTTTCTTCTTTTGACAACAGGGAATTTATTTATTCTCTAAATAAATCAAAGGCATTCAGCATGTACCCTCTGATGGTGGGGGATCTTTTAACTGGGTATTTTGGAAGAGGATATTTTGGCCAGGGAGGGGTCTATTCCTTTCTACTCTAGGATGGCTGTCATGGCCTCCATGTTAAAAGTAAACTCAATTTGCTACAGCTTTTGCCCAGCTATAGATAAAAGAACAGAACTTACCACTTCATTGATGGCTTTGATGAGGAAAAGACTATCCTTATAAAAATAAAACAGTCTAATGATACCTGAAACAGAAAAATAAGTGAGAATGAAAGACAGAAAATTGAGCCAAAGAATTGGAATTTTATACTTGACGTCCTGAAATACAATCATAAGCTCATGCATTATTAGGCTTCCTTCCTGGCCCCTCCACTGCCCGTGAATACCTTGGTCTCCTTGCCTTCCTCTACCCTTCCCTTGAGATGTTCAAGTTACTCTTCCTCATGGGTCCTTTCTGCCTACTCTGGCCCTACCCTCTTCTTATAGAAGCCTCTTGAAAGCACTCTGGCTACGCCAATCCACTCCTGGTTTCTCTCCACCTGTTTTAGCACATCATCCCACACTGCTTTGCCCTGTTACCCAGCTGCTTCCTGTGAGTGTTTTTTCATTCATCTAGCAAGTTCACAGATTCTCTGAGAGAAAGGATCATACCTTACTCTTCTTTGTGCCTCATCCCTCAAACCCCAACAAGCTCCTCATGTAGTTAATTTTGTTGATTGAATAAGTAATTCTGTCATTCTAATTACCATTTAAACTAAGGGCTCCAGTATATGATCATCATCCACCACGACTTTTTATCTCTTTCTTTTGGTGCCTCCCAGGCACTCATAACCTGCCCCTACACCTGTCATACAGACCTTGTAAAGGCATCTGGCCCACTGTGTGTGAAAGTCTAACTCAGCCCAACAAACATTCACGGGATATCTGCTCTATGACTATGGATGTGCTACCAAGGCAGTCTGAGCCCTCAAATTCATCATACTGGGAATCACACAGACATGAAACCAACTAGATATAATGCAATGTGATAAATGCAATCCTATCTTTATACCAAACTCCTCCTGAGTGTCAACATCCCCATTCCAGGTGCCTTGAAGGTCTGTGTGCTCAAGTGCAATTTTTCAGCTCACAGACCCCTGAAACCTCATTCTCCTATAACTGCTTATCAAGGAATGGCATCATCATCACCCCCATTATCTAAGGCAGAAAGGAGTCATTTTTCTTTACCTACCTCCCTACTCCTTGACCCCATACATATATTCCATCACTCACTGAGTTTTTCCATTATATTTTCCTTTTTATTTTTAGAGGCTTTTATTTTGAACTAATTTTAGGTTTATAGAAAAATTGCAAAAATAGTACAAAGAGTTCCCTTATATCCCCTTACTTCACTTCCCCCAGTGTTAACATCTTACATAACCATAATACAATTTTCTTTTCACTTTAGCAGCCCCTGCCTTGGTTCAGACCTGCATAATTTCTCTCCTCAGTGAATGCACTAGCTCTTCTTGGTCTCTCTGCTTTACTTTCGACTTTTTCAAACTCCTACCAGGGTGGACCTGTCAGGTCACTCTCCTGCAGACACAGTATCCTCTAGGACACTGTCCATAGTTCTCTATACTATAGTCCCCATGCCTGGTTCATCCTCAGGCTGAGGGAAGAAGCAAGCCCTGGTTTATATGAGCAGCAGGATTGCTGAGTGGCCAAAGGGTGTGGACCCTGGGGTCATGCTGCCTGCTTTGAATTCTGCCTGTGCCACTTACTTCTGCGTTACCTCAAGTAAGTTATTTAACCTCCATGCCTCTTCTGAAAAACAGGAATAATAAACTGTATTTACCTCCTAGGGCTGTTGTGAGGGTTAAATGGGCCAACATATGTGAAATGTTAGAATGATGCCTGGCACAGCAGACTGTCCTGCAGATGTTAGTGAACAGTATGACCAGGGAGAATTCTCAGTGTCCGACCCTGCCCACACCTGGAAAGGAGATTAAACTGAACGACAGTCTACGGCTTCCTGTAAATCAGGCTAAAAAGGAAGATGAAGAACAAGTACCCATTTCATCCACAGGAGCAATAAGTATTTCATTCCCCAAATCTGTGGCCCAGATGGAAGTCACATCAACCTTAAGTTTCTCCCAAACATATATTCTTTTAGCATTGTGCAGATTATAGATGGAGAATCCTTTCGTTCCTCCAATAAATACATAGTCTTGAGAAACAGCCATACAATTTGGCATTTTGTTGAGCTGGGAAAAGAAAACAAAGAAGAAAAAAGGAATGATTTTCAGTTATCACCATTTGCAAGTATTATGAGCTAACTCTTCAAAGAGGCATGCAGGCCCTTCCTAGATATAATATCATGCCCAAACATAGTGTCCATCTGAATACCTTGCCTAAGCATCAAGAAAGTCATAGCATTCTGCTTTTAGGGGAAAAGGGCCAGAGAAAACAAAGAAGTTGAGAATAAAAGTTCATTCACAACACTCAGTGTGACCATGGGCCCTGTGATGAGTGAACCAGTGGCCCACTTTCCTGTACTGTATTCATCTAGAACACTGTGGAAAGAGCTATAGCTGAGGCACTGGCAGATTCTCAACCATCAAGATTAATGGTTAATTAAGAGAGCGATTAATACATTCAGAAAGATTTTACAATAACAAAATATAAAAGACCTCTTAAATAATCTTTAATTAACTAGAACGCTCATTTCCCTAGGCAAATTACTAGATCTATTTTAATCAACCTCAGCGTGCCTATAATCTTTCAAAAATGCCCCTGTCTTATTGAATGAACGTTCCCAGTAGGAATTCCTTCCCAGGATCAGATGCTTTCATTTATTAACACTCAGCTGAGAGACAAGGCCTACTGGTCAGCTGCTCCATACCGTGCTTTCCATAAACGGAGGGTAGATGGTAGGCTGGATCCGGCTGAGCTCAGCTGTCCTCAACACGTCCCTCTCCTCAATAATTTCCCAAGAACGGTCAAACAGAAAGTTCACCAGCTTGTTGATCATTCGGTAAGGCTGAGGTAGGGAATCCACCTCTTGCTCTGGATCACTGAAGACGCAATCGTCTTCATCATCCTTAGACCAGTCTTTCTCTGTTGGGGATGGCACTTCCAGCATCCCCTTTCGGGTAAAAATGGGCAGCTTCATCTTATGGGCTCGATTTCCTTTGGGGGATGTCATCACAGAAGGTGGCGCTGGGAACATCTATGAAACTGAAAAGCTGATAAAGTTAGCAGTCAAGGTACTTTGAGAAAAAGAAGAAGTTATCAGAGGAAGTCAGTACATCCTCCTCCTTAGCAGAATAGCCTATGGAAACTATTTATTCTAGATATTGGCACCTTCCTTATTTACCACAGGATCGTTCACACATAACTAAGATATGCTCTTTATATTAATAAGGTTATCAGTGAAGACAGGTACTGACTATCTTCCAGGCCAGCCCAAGATGATGTGCGCTATGATGGAAGGAAAGGAATTTGGCATCCTTGTTGCCTTTCTTCACCTGGCTGTCCTTCTGTCCCAGATAGAAGTCACCCTTTCTTCTACAACTTATGCCTTCTCCTGGCTCTTCTATCTCTGCAAATGGTTGTGCTCAGGCCGGCTGGGTAGGGAGCCATGACTTCTCTGCTTTCTTTTCCCTCACCTCCAATCAGATGCAGCTCAAGCACTTCCAATCCTTGCTGTCTTGTTTGTTCCTTCCTCTCTTCTCCCACTGGTGCCACTCGGGAGTTCTGCAGGCAGGGTGCCCAGAGCTTATGAGATTTTTCAAGGGCCTACAGAAATGTCTGAGACTTGAAAAAAAAATCTTTGACTAAAAAAAACCCACAAAATCAAAATAATGAAGTATTTACAAAAATATTTACAACTTATCAGCTCCACTCTGTATGGACACAATGTTTAAGTCTATAAGAAAAGGATGAGTAATTTGTACTTTATAAAACTCAAAAGTGTACAAACTACAAAAAGGGTTTCAAATGTTACTTTTTTTAAAAAAAGGCATTTAATGTGGAACACAGAGTACATTTGAAGATGCTTATTGCGTAGTGGAATAGGGCCTTGCACTGTCAGAGCACCACGGAAGTCTTATAAAGGCCCTGCTGCCATCAACTTTTCTCACCTGCACATTTGTGATGTTTCCAGTGCAAAGTGAGAGGAGACTATCTGAGTCTAAGTCTGGGAGAAAAGAACCACCTGAAATAATAAGTGGGAACAGTAACCTGAGTTCACGCAGGGCCAGGAATAATGCCTGTTTCCATTAGCGAGAATGGAAAACCTCATAATTCACAAACATTGGGTACAGTACTCAGAAGAGTCTAGTCAAGTAGTGGGAAAAATGAACCCTATAACAAACGCTGCTCTGGTATTGCCCATCAAATCTTAGGAGTCAGAAGATCAAATTTACTGAGTACCTTAACTACATACCAGAACAAAGCTCAGGAACACTTACAGGAATACAAATATGAAACAGCCCCCTTATAACTGAGTTCCCTTACTGAGTTTATGATTAATCTTTTTATTCAAAATTTATTCCCTTGCTTGTCCCCTCTGACCTCAGTCCTGTGCTAACTGAACACTAATCAACCAGAATCAGATGACTAAGACTGCAGTTGCTGATAACATCGTAAAGGGACTAAAATTGCTGTTACAGATATCATCATTAATGCACAAAGTCAGGTTGTTTCTCCAGGGCAGGATGAACTCACAGACCCCCAAGCCATGGACCACCTGGCAAGAGAATAATAAACCAGGGACATCCTCATTCCTGAAACCATGATTAAGAAAAGTCACAAGACAATGATTAATCTGTTTCTTTGTTCTTCCTCTTTAAAACACCCCTAATTCAAAGACTCAGAGGGAGTGGATTTGAGATCTGTCTCCCACTCTCCTGCTTGGTGCCCTGCCAATAAACCTTTACTTTGCTGCTAACACCTGCTGTCAGAGTTCAGCTTTCTGCACCTTAGGCACACAAGCCCTTGCTCAGTTACAAAAATATCTAGCATCTAATGAAGTAAAATTCACAATGTCTAGGATGCAATAAATAAAAATTAACTGGTATGCAGAGAGGCAAGAAAACACAAGCCATAATAAACAGAAAACTCAAACAATTGAAGTTGACTCATAATCGACACAGATATTTGAATCAGCAAACCAAATGGTTAGTTTATTCCACATGTTCAAAAACCAAGAGGAGTAACTTATGGTGAAAAAGAATATTAAAACGAGTATGTGTAGGTTCATGTATGATTGAAGCATTGTGCTGTACACCAGAAACTGAAACAACATTGTAAACCGACTATATTTCAATAAAAAAAAATACAAAAAAAAAAAGCAACCAACCACCAAGAGGAAATGCTGAATGTGTTAAGCAGAGATGCGGAATATATTAAAAAAAAACTAAACCAACAAACTTTTAGGGATGAAAACTACAATGTCTGAGATGAAAAATACACTAGATTAGATTATAACAAGATTTCAGAGTAAAACAAACTAGATGGGCCAAAGAGAAGATCAGTGAATTTGAAAACATAGCAATAGAAACAAAATGAAACAAAGAGGAAAAAAATTTGAAAAAAAAAAAAAATGAAGAGAGTGAGGTCTGGGATAACTTGAAATAGCCTAATATAAATGTGACTGAAATCCTCAGAGGAGGGAAGAGACCAAAAAAAAGTTGTAGAAATAATGGACAAAAATTTTTCAAATTCTGATGAAAACTATAAACCTACAGATTCAAAAAGAAAAACAAATCCTAAGCAAATTAAACATGAAGAAATCTATACCAAGGCACATCATGCTCAAACTGCTTAAAACTAGTGTTAAAGACAAAATATGAAAAGCAACCAGGGAGAAAAAGCTATGCACAAGGGAACAAAGTAAAGGACAATAGATTTCCTGAAGGAAACAGCACGAATGAGAAGTAGTGAAGCAACATCTTAAAAGCACTGAGAGACAAAAAAATGCCGATCAAGAATTCTAGGCTAAAAAACATACCTTGCAACAACTGAAGGGGAAATAAAGACTTTTTAGACGTACAAAAACTGAAAGAATTCAGCAGCAGCAGACCAGCATTACAAGAAATAATATTAGAGGCCTTCAGGCAGAGGGAAAACAGCATCAGAGAGAAATGTGAATTTACACAAAGGAATGAAAAGCACTGGATGATAGCTATGTAGCTAAATAATAAAGACTCATTATCTGCATCTCTTTAAAAGATAGTTAAAATGTTTGAACAAAAAATAATAATGTAGTGTGGGGTTAATAACATATGTAGAGGAAAATATGTAATAATAATAGTACAAAGGCTAGGAGGGGAGAAATGGAAGTATGCCAATATCCCTTGAAGGTAGGCTATGGTAAGTTAAAGATGCATACTATAAACCCTAAAGCAACCACTAAAGTAATAAAACAAAGAATTACAGCTAATAAGCCAACGAAGGAGAAAAAATGGAGTAATAAAAATAATTTTAAAACGTCAAAAAGAGGGAAAAGGGCAAAAAACAGATGAGACAAGTAAAATAAATAGCAAACCTAACCATATCAATAATCATATCAAATGTAAATAGTCTAAAGGCTCCAATCAAAAAACAGAAATTGACAGATTAAAGAGAAAGACAGAATACATTGCCTACAAAAATCCACTTTAAATATAAAGATACATATAGATTAAAACTGCAACAGTAGAAATAGATTTACCAGGCTAACACTAATGAAAAGAAAGCTAAAGTGGCTATATTAAAATCACATATAGTACATTTCAAAGCAAAGAATATTACTTGGGATAAAGAGGTTTTTTTATAATAATAAAGGAGTCAGTTCATCAAGAAGACATAAAAATTCTAAATGTTTATAAACCTAATAACAGAACTTCAAAATACATGAAGCAAAACTGGTAGAATAACAATGAGAAATAGACAAATCCACAATTATAGTCAAAGATTTCAAAACTCTCTCTCAATAATTTACAGAACATGTAGACAGAAAAATCAGCAAGGATACAGAAAACTTGAACATTATTAACAAATTTCATCTGACTGACAGTTGTAGATCACTCTACCCAACAGCAGGATACAATTCTTTTTTAAGTACATATGAAATATTTATCAAGACAAATTATATTCTGGGCCATAAACCAAGTCTTAATACATTTATAAGTATTCAAGTCGTACAAATTATGTTCTCTGATCACACAGAATTGTTTTAGAAATCAGTAACAGGAAACTATTTAGAAATATACAAAACCTCAAAATGTTAGGAAATATTTCTCCCTTTTTTGAAGTATAGTCAGTTTACAATGTTGTGTCAATTTCTGGTATACAGCATAATGTTTCAGCCATACATATACATACATATATTCCTTTTCATATTTTTTTCATTATAAGTTACTACAAGATAATGAATGTAGTTCCCTGTGCTATACAGTATAAACTTGTTGGTTATAGGAAATATTTCTTAATAACTTATCAATCATTACTACATAACTATTATAATGGCTCAAGTTTTTAAAAATACTGACATATGAAACACTTTCAAAACAAAACTTATGCTCTTCAAAAGACATTAAAAAGAATACATAGTAGTCCAGAAAGCCTGGGAGACAATATTGGGAGGTCATATATATGATAAAGTGCTTGGGCCTGGAATATTTTGAAAATTGTTAAAACTCAGTAATAAGAAAATGACCCAACTTTTTAAAGTGGGCAAAAGATTTGTACTGACACCTAACCAAAGAAGATATACAGATGGCAAGTAGGCACATGAAAAGATATTCAACATGATTAGTCATTAGTCAAGTGCAAATTAAAATTACAATGAGATACCACTTCCCATGTGTTAGAATGCCTGAAGTTAGAAAGACAGATCACACCAATGTTGTTGAGGATGAGGAGAAACTGCAACTCTCCCAGCTGCTGTTGGGAAAGTAAAATAGTACATTTTGGAAAACAGTTTAGCAATTTCTTGAAAAGTTAAACATGCACTTACCACAATATCTAGTCATTTTACTCCTAGGTGTGAACTGAAAACATTATGTCCATACATAGACTTGTAAAGGAACATTCAATACAGCTTTACTTGGAGTTTGCAGCTCCAAACTGGAAATAACCCGAATGCTAATCAACAAGAACAAATAAACTCCCACTCATTCATATCTTATAGTCAGTGGGAACACAAAATAGTAGAGCCACTTTGGAAAACAATTTAGTAGTTTCTCACAAATTTGAACATACATTTAACATGATTCAGCAATCCCATTCCTACATATTTATCCAAGAAAAATTAAACCTTATATTTCATATGAAAATCTATACTTAATATTTATAGTAGCTGAATTTATAATTGCCTCAAACTGGAAACAACACAAATGTGCTTCAGTGGATGAAGAAATAATAAACTATGGTATATCCATGCAATGCAATACCACTCAGCAATAAAAAATCACAAATTACTGATATACACAATGTGGATGAAACTCAAATGTTATTATGCTAGTGAAAGAAATCAGATAGAAAAGCTACATACCATATGATTCAATTTACGGTACTGTGGAAAAGGCAGAATTATAGCTATAGAACACAGACTATTTAAATCTGTGTTTAGAAGCACCCTGTGTTCACCTCTTATCATCTAATATATCACTGTGTTGTACTTTTCTGTTTACTTGTGTCTCTCATTTGTCTATTTCCCTGGGCTAGAGCTTAGCACAGAGGTTGGTACAGTGCTGACACTTAACAAATTTGTGTTGCTTGCAGTATTGCCCTGCTCTGGGACATGAACTTAGAGAATACTTCTGGCTTTCTTACAGGGACTTCCCTCTGCAAAAGATGACAAATTCATGGGATCAAGAGAATGTACCCACTCAAAGCCTAGACTTCCTGCCTTCAGGGTTCAGGGTAATTGTACCCTTGTAATTTATAGCCCTAAAGATGCCAGTGCCTACATGCACCTTTCTTGATTTTCTCCTGAGGGCAGACCCAGCTGCTAACCCAGCTGCACCCCTAGACCTGAATGGTGGACAGGGCATGGCTGTTTGCAGGGTAACGGGCAGAACTTGGACGCGGCTTGGAGTAGCCACACATTGCAGACAAGGCCCTCTCAGTGATATAGTGGGAGCCAGAAGTGGTGTGTAAAGGGTTGCGAAAGGACTGGAGATCAGGTCTCCTCACAGTACATATTCCAGCTGTGTTTCCAGGTATTCCACGGTGCCCAAGAATCCTGAATGTGAAACCAGACTTCCAGATCATTATGATGGTATATTTGTCAAGGCAGGAGAAAAGAACATAGCTTATTCAACAATTTGTTACCTTGATTTAAAATTTTAAATATTTAACTATATGGTTTGTGGATCTCTATTTGAACTTTTACCGTCAGCCTGCAAATATCAGGGGGCAGGCCTGACCAAGGGAGTAAAGATTACAAAAATAGATGATCCTACTTTGTGACTATAGGGCGCTCATTTTATAAAATTACTGCTATGGAATGAGTGGCACTTCATATCTTCAAACCCCACAAAACAAACGACAGTGGTGCAATTTCATTGTAATCTCTTTCGGTCCCCACTTTGTTTATGTACCCTTTTAGAATTTCAAGTAGCAATCTTCTTTCAGTGTTCAATAATCCTAACAGAAAATTTTCTCACTTTACCCAGCTCTCATGTTTGAAATACTCTCCATGAATTGGCTTATTTCTGCTCTAACAGCTCCCCAGACCTGGAGCTGGTGTTGCTCAAGGAAAACGGAGGCACGGAGTTGGGAAACGATGAGGCCTCTAAATCCCCAAGCAAAAGCTCAGGGGAATCTCCATTTGGGAATCTCCATTTGGGATTCCGCCTGGGGTTCCCTGGGTACTCGGGATCTGCTGGGAGGTATGGGGCGTTCTGCAGACCCCTGAGGCTGGGGAGAAAGGCCCCCTCAGATCCCCCTCTAGGAGATCCTAGAGGTAGAGGGGAGTCCTGGGACACGTGGTAATCGGCGGCACCCGAAGGCAGAAGCCGGGGGTTTTGCTCACCTGGGCCAGCAGTTTGGCGTCGCCTTAGTAACTACAACTTCCGGCCCCAACCGGAAGCCCGCGAAGTCGCTCCTCCAAAAGTGCGCCCGCCCCCACGGGGGCGGGCCGAGACCCACCCTCCTCTGGGGACCTGGCAGTGCCCCTGAGGACCTGCGACCGATCCCAGTGCGACGTGGCCTTGGGCGGGGGCGCCATGGACGCCTTCATCCGCTTCACCAACCAGACTCAGGGCCGGGACCGACTCTTCAGGTGAGTCAGGTGCCCGCGGCCTCCACCCCTTCGCCGTCCCTCGACCCTTCGGGTACACGGTTCCCTGTTCTCCGACACCCAGAGAAGGAGGTAGTAGCCCAGTGCAAGGAAGCAGGAAGAACGCTGCTGGCTCCTGGAGGGGGGTTGGTACTGGAGCCCCTCCTCATGCTAAATTCAGTGAGGCTGGGCCGAACGAACCGCGTCCTGTCCCATCCGGTCCCGAGCCTCGTGCACCAAAGCCATGGTGCCTGGCACCCCAAATCCTTTGGCCACTAGCTGTGTTAAAACATCCGACGAACCCTCCTCTCCTAAGCTGAGGAAGACTGGGTTTTCTCCGCTCGACATTCTTCGAAGAATTATTTAAGAGAATCTGGGTTGACATTTCTACCTAGGGAAACCAACTACTGGTTGTAGCTTCAAAGACTCCATGAAATACTTAGGGAGTGACAGAAATTGTATTTACCTTCCAATGGACAATTCCATTGTTCTGTCTACTTCATTGAGATAACCGCATGTGAAAAAGTGTTGTGAACTGTAAGTACAGTGTGGAGAACTTCAGAAAGAACTGACTGAACCTCTAAGGTACACGCTGTGCTACTGAAGATATTAAACAGAGATTGAGATTTTAATAGTAATTCATAATGTTTCTTTTAGAAATTTGGTTGAGTCTTGCTCAATAATTAAAAAAAATAGTTATAGTTGCCGTTTTAACAGCATTTCTTTCTCTTTTGGATGTATAAGTGCTAATTCACACAGACCAATAGTAGCGCCAATAATTATGAGACTTTTGGAAGCTGACTTTATGCCAGAAATTGTAGGCAGTTTGTTACAGCTATTAACCCATTTAACCCTAATCACAATCCTGTGAGGTTAAGTACTCTAAATCGTCCCCATTTCATAGAAATGGGGAAACTGAAGCACAAAGAGATAAATAATTGGCTGAGCTGAGAGGTTTAAAACCACAGTTGCGTCCAGGACCCACCTCTTTACTACCAAGCCATGCTACTTTTCTAATTAACTTAATAGGTTTTCAGAATAGTTGTATTATATACAAGCTTCATTAAAATAGAATTAAAATGTACCCTGCAAGGCTTATCAGTGAGGTTGGTTAGTAAATAATTGTTTAGAATACCCTTATTCAGCAAGATCTGATATATCTGGTATTTATTTCCCAACCCTTTTGGTGATCTAGAGCTTCTGTAAATAGACTGGCATTCATGAAATAGTGCCTTGTTTTTAGACACATTTCTGTTATTAGACCAAATCTGAGAAAGGGGGATTCATTGATGTGACCAGCTTGAGCCCTCTAGCCAGGAAGTATACTTCAAAAGAGAGAGAGATTGTTTCTTTTTACTTCATCTGCAGTAACAAGTTCACCATTTTGGAAAACATGCCACTTTTTTATTGAGAATAATATTTATGACACAAAGGGATTTCAGTGTAGTTACAGGACAGTGGGAAACAGGCACCTACCTGCTTTACTAGACTGCCAAATGCATTTAGATGTTTGATTATGTGAGATAAGAGTTTTCATTTGTTATGTTTCTGTTGGTAAGACATTGTTATTTGTATCCATGACAATAATCACTGTATTGAGTATTGAGTATTATTAAACAGGAGTCTGTGTTTTATATAAAAAACCAGTTAGTTTTGAAAGACAAATCTGTACTTATTTATGTATTGGTGTGTATTTGGTCCTCTTATAAAAAATTAAGTAATATTCAAACTGTGGACTTTTCATTTGGTTGTGGTTTGAGTATGTGTCCTGTCATGTAAGTAGCTGGTAAAAAAATTCCCTATTAGAAATCTGAAAATCTTTTAGAAATTTACACTGCAGTAAATAAAGAGTATATGTATTTGCAGACTTAAATGAGGTGGATTTTTGTACAGTTTACTGCTTTGACTATATCCATTTCTCTGTGCCAGCAAAAGGCTTTTTGAGGGACTATTCACTGTATTATTGAAGAGTTCTCTTTCATTACCTTTGTGTCGCATTTCCATCACATGTTCTACCCTTTGACCCTATGGAGTGACCTTTGCAGAATTTTGCTCTTGTAAGAGCTGCTACGTGAGAAATTGTCTTGGAAACCTTGCCTTTAGCAAAATATGTTTCTCCTTCCTTTACTTCATGAATCAAATTTTATTTGGTTTGTAAATCATTCTCATTTTTTTTGCATTTCAGAGCCACTCAGTACACATGCATGTTGCTTAGATATTTGTTAGAGCCTAAAGCTGACAAAGAGAAGGTGGTAATGAAGCTCAAGAAACTGGAGTCCAGTGTGAGCACTGGCCGTAAATGTAAGTACCCTGTCCCCTGAGGGACAGTGGCTCCTGGTTTAGAATCCTCAGACCCTGTAATTCACAAAATATTTCCTAGATCATTCTTAGTCAGTCAGGTTTATTGATAAAGTTCACCAGTAAGTCTGCCCTTATGGAACAAGAAGCCAAAAAGGTTGAACGTTCTGCTGCAGACCATTCACAGACACTCTCCTATGTTCTCATTTGGTGCCATACCATATCTTTCTGCTGAATCATAACCAGTGGGACATATAATGTATTAGTTCACCTTTAGTTCTTAGAATCAAAAAATGTTCTGACAATCCCTGGCATGAATTTCTGGCTTTTGGTAGCCCTTTGTATTCTCTAGAAGAACAGACTAGCTATATCCTGGACCCCCTGCCTTTTTTCCCTTCCCTTGAGGATTGCTCAAACAAAATGAAAGGATACATTTTCTTAAATTATCTATGGAGTTGTTTCACGTTAAAGGCAAAAAGTGGTTTGTGTTGTGTTCTCATTTAATTCATTTTAACAATATAGCATACTGGGAAATCTCATACTTCTAATAGCAGTTGCTTGTCCAACTCCTGGTTGTTTGATGAGAACCAGAGGCTGCCGTAGTAGATGAACAGAGGCATGGTAATGGAATGTAGACATCAGATGTTGATCAGTTATTTTTGAGCACCTACTTCACACAGGTGTAGTGCTGAGCTTTATGGGAGGACTAAGATCACATGATATAAACAGTGATATAGGATTTAGTGCCAAATATGTTTGTTGGGGTAGAGGGAAAGAAAGGTGTTTTGAGGAGATGGAACTTGAGGTGTGGCTAGAGAGTGACGGAAGGAGAACATTCTTGAAGAGTGGTTCCTTCTAGTGAAGGCTTAAAACTGTTATGAACAAACCATTGTATTGGAGGATCAATGAGGAAACAAGTTTGATGAAGACTTGTCACGCAGAGGGATGGGAAGGGTGGAGTGAGCTTTTTGGTTGGCTTGGAAGAGCAAGATTAGAAGTTTTCAGATTCTTTAGAATGTTGGAGCTCAAAGGTCCTTCAGAGGTCACTAGTCTCTGAAGTCCAGAAAGGACTTACCCAAGGTCACTCAGCCAGTTAGTGTAAGAGCCAGAACTGGAAGCCAGGATTATTCATTACATATTTTGTTTTGTGTTATTTTTGATAAAATAATACCAGACATTCTTCTGAGATTTTAAGCTTCCTGAGGATAGCTACTTCTGAGCATTTGCTGAGTCTTAAGATATAGTCTTTCTTTTGTACTTATTTTGTATCCTCTATGATGTTTAGGACTATAACTTATTCTGAATAGGTGCTCAGTAAATATTTGTTGATTGATGCATCCATGATTACTTGAATTACATGCTCAGATAAGGACATGCCCTTGCAGTGGTTGATTTAATTCAACTAGGACTCACATATGACAATATTATTAGCTGTCTTGTCCACTGAATCCTACCATCTCTCCTTTGTCTTCTCAACAGTAGGGAGCCAAAGGGGGTTTGGACCAGAGAAATGGCAAAATGATAACAGTATTTTTTTTAAGCAATCTTTTATCTGGAAAGTAAATCAAATGTAAGGTATCAGACTCTCCAAAAGAATGTTGCATCTAATATTCAAATATAATGATTTGAATCATTACACTAATGACTGATCTTGCTTAAAGTATGTTGTAAGTAATTGCTAATGTAGTCACTGGAATGGAGGTGATAATTTTAAAGAGTCACTGTCTTTTTTGCCTTCCAGGATCATTTTAGGTGTCCTTAACACACTGTAAAGTCGTTCTTTCCTGAGCAAGACCGAGCCTCAAATGATGGTCAGTTACTAAAATACCAGTGCTGACCTCTCACCCTGATACAGGCATTCTGCTTATAAAATCCTATTCCATACTAATTAAATAACTGTTAACTGTTGTGGGTTCTTCTTGCAGGGTTCAGACTAGGCAACATGGTGCATGCTCTACAGGCGACTCAGCAGAGCATTCGTGCCACTGACCCGGTGCCCCGCTTGTGCCTAACGTTAGCCAGCCTGAACCGTGTGATTTATTTCATCTGTGACACCATCCTCTTCGTGAGGAGCGTAGGGCTCGCCTCTGGCATTAACAAAGAGAAATGGCGAACATGGGCTGCCCGCCATTACTACTATTCTGTTCTGCTGAGCCTTGTCAGGGATCTGTATGAAATCTCCCTGCAGATGGAGCAGGTTGCACACGACAGGGCAAAGAGGGAGAAGTCACCATCCCGGGAGCCTCTTGGGTATAGCGTGGCTGATGAGGAGACAGAATGGCTCCAGTCCTTTCTCCTTCTCTTATTCCGATCTCTGAAGAAGCATCCTCCCTTGCTCCTGGACACAGTGAAGAACATCTGTGATATCCTGAACCCTTTGGACCAGCTGGGGATCTGTAAGTCTAATCCTGGCATCATAGGCCTTGGAGGCCTCGTGTCCTCTATAGCAGGCATCATCACTGTGGCATATCCTCAGATGAAGCTGAAGACCCACTGATGTGGTTTCAGGCTAAAGACGAGTTCTTGCTTTTAAGGACAACCTGTTAGTGGAATGGACATTTGCATTAGGCACAACTATGCCATACTATACT